TTGATATGTTGATAAACGGAATCAAACAACCAAATCAAATCCTCTCGTTAGCACTGTGGTTTCTGCAGACAACCTTTTTAGAATTAAGTTTTGTACTTCTAGACTGTTAAGCAGGGCTAGAAAACCGAATCTATCCTGTTATTTACCCCATAGATGGGGGGAAAGAAATATATTCATACATCTTTCCCAAAGATATTATGTACAGTTATTGGCTATGGTTAAATATAATTCCCAACAAACAGAATTGACAAAGTTTGTAGTATCTGTCTATATTCCTGAGACCACCTGAAGAAGGCCGGAGTGTACAACGGCCGAAACTGTAATAAATATGGCGACAAAGATGAGGACAATAGTCCTAATAATGTAAATAGTGTAGTTTGCAGTAAACAATAACAAAAGAAGGGAAAGTGCATGGCCAAATTAATACTAATTAAGCAATACATACAAGTCAATGCAACAGTAATGAGGCAAAACTCTTCACAAAATAAAAATGGTATTAACACACGAAAGGGATACAGTCATGTGATTGTAGCGTTCTGACTTTAAGACAACAATATGGCGGATGAAACCGGGAAGTTGTCTATCTTATTAGCTAGGAAGAAATCCCAGCATGCAACTGTAGGATGCGTCTATAAAATTCGGGGAATAGGGTTTTTGTGGCCATTCCTCTAGTTTCAGCACTTCAGCGTGGTGTAATGGTTAGCAAGCTTAGTTTGTTAAATCATTTACAATCATATATTAGACTTGGCTGATAAAACTTAATATAACTCTTAAAAAAATTGTTTTTTTTTTAAGTATGTCACCAATGCGAAATATCTAGAAGGCGCTGAATTAACTAATCAAGAGATCTTGTTCATGTCGCTTCTACGAAATTGTGGCGGCCTTTTACCACATTTATTTAATTTTTGTTTAGGAACACAAACTGAGGTAAAAAAAGGACAAGGCAAAAGTATCAATATATATAAATTGAATTCAAAAAAGCATACAGTATAGAATGTATACGAAAAAGCATGCAATAAGATGTAAGTTGTCTCTCTTTCACTATCAAAGTCTATCAAAGTTCTCTGAAAAAGAAAATGAAAGAGTTAATAGTCTGTTATAAATGTTTTTAAACGGTTCTGCCATGCAAGAGGAAAAGTATGTAAGTGTGATGGAATATGCAGTTTGAGAGTTGAGTGAGAAGATGGGCGCATATCTTCAACTGACGTGGATTTCTGTGGCAGCTGAAGTCTCACTGCGGGTCTCCTCTTTTCCTATTCTTATATAGGTGGTCATTCAATCAGGAGTGCTGCGCGGAAATAATCATGCAGAGAATCTGATTGGTCGATACTGACCAATCAGTGCATGAGTTTCGGGGAGACTTCTAGGAGCCGATTCTCCCAAATGTGCCCAAAATCTACTATTTGAAAATACAGCGATTTTAAAATTGTCGCTTCAGATAGCAGCGTTGATTCCTGTCCAATGAATGAATGCTGTTGAAGATTTGAATTTGCAAGGATGTATGTGTGTGTGGTGATGATCGCCATAAAATCAAGCTACAGTCCGTTTCCTTTTCAAATACGAAATCTTGGATATGATATTATATACTAGCGTATAATGTGAGTTTTTTTATGCAAAAATAGTGAGACAGAAAGAGAGTCTGGGAAACACACACAAGCGTATTTTTTTTTTTAGTGAAATTGGAGTAGATTTGAATAGCGAAATTAAATCAGAGCATTTTGTTTACTGATGGGGAAATCTGATCTAGGGCAGAAGTTGTACCCATTGAATCTGGGTCATCAGGAGACAATGAAAATGGTCGAAATAATTTTTATCGATTAAAAATTGAAATAGAGCTGAGTAAGCTAGAAGGAACTTTGGAATTCACATGATTTTGGTTGATAATCGCGTGCGAAGTAGTAGGGCCGATGGTCAGTTATAACCAGACGGGTTTATCTATATAAACACGTAGCTATGCTGAAAAAGAAAATTCTTGAAGAGAGAAATAAGAATTGGCCCGGGCGAGCGTTGAGAGGAGGAACGCTACAATAACTTTAAGCCCCGCACAGAAATCTTTTCCCTCCATCGCAAGAGTCATATATCGTTCTGAGATGATGTAACAACAAGATAATCACATACTCTCTCTCTCTCTCTCTCTCTCTCTCTCTCTCTCTCTCTCTCTTTTCTGTAACCCGTTTCTCTTCTCTACTATTCTTTTCTGCTACATTACCAACCATTGAATCGAGTTTTGTCGGGCTTTCTGCAGATATTATTATTATTATTTATTTATTTTTTTTTTTCGCTGCATTCTAAATTTCTTAGCGCAGACTCCCCAGCCGTGTCTACATCTTCAGTCGACCGTGAATGGACGGATATCACTTCTGCTTTCTGGATCAAACAAATCACAACGTGGGTAGGAAGGAGGATTAAACCAGCAGAGCGATCGAATAATCTACGAATTCTCATAGGACCTATGGCTACTCCCTTAAGTTCGGTTAGGACCGAGTAGACACCTCAAGCCCGAGAGTAAGACGCCAGAGGTTAAGGGGCCGGGGCGAAAGTGTTAGATAGGGGGCGTACTATACAGATGTAAGAGGTCACGTATTTTCGGTGTCCGATTGCGCGCTTTACATAATAAGTCAGGCATGAACGAAAATAAAAGTAAGGTATGTAAATCTTCGTATCGATTATTTTACGGTAAGTTTTTTTTTACTCGCCATTTTGGGATAACATATTGACTATAAAATATATCCAGAATGATTCCCAGTACTGAAATATTTCACTACGTTAGGCCTACTCGTATTGTTCAGGTGAGGTCGCATTGAACACAAGCTATATGAAAAAAATCAGGTTTTTCAGAAAAACATGAAAGGGTTGCAGTATGTTGTTCCCTCGTTTATCGCAGTAGATTGGTTCCGAGATCCGCCGCGATAACTGAATTTCCGCGAATTAGGGACGCCATATTTACAGTATTTATTTCATGTGTATTTGGACTTTTAAAACCCTCTCTGTACTGTTAACAACCCACCCATTACAGTACTCTATTAATAACAAGGGCAACTGTTAAGCAATAACACTTTAGATTAAATATATATATATAAAAAGATCGTTATTGTATTCAACACGAAAGAAGTTGAAGTAGAATTTGAATGATGATGATGAATTTGCTGCACAGTAGAAATGATGATGATGAAGCTGATGATGATTTCTATTGTGCAGCCGATAATTGTATTTTACGTCTCTTCTGACGGCGGTGCGCTTTCTATTGCTATTGTACGCTTGTTTTGTTGTTCCTAGACCAGGAAATAATATTTATTATTAATATTTTAACGAAAAATTTTAAGTGTTCATATATCGCGATTTTTCTAGAATTTTCCAAAAACTCCGCTCTATATTTTCCATATATATATTTTTAAAATCCCCGAAGTCGTGAATTTGCAATAGAACCGCGAATTAGCGAGGAGAGATCGCCGTATATAGGAAGCAGGCATACACATGACTATATAGGGTACTTTACCTTTAGTTTCAACAAAAATTCTATAGGAAAAAGAAAATCGCCGGTTACAAGAATTTGAATTTCGTTAGTCATTTTTTTCTTTTTTTAAGAAAACCAGAAAAGAGAAACATTATTGTCCACTCAACAAACTGCTCATCAAAGTGATATGTGAAGTCGATTCCCATTTTTAAGCAACAGGAATTTAGATTAATTTCCAGCGTACAGTTAGTTTCCTTGGAGATAAAACTGCATATATTTTAACCGATTTACTTACTCATTTTATATATTATCATTCAGTATTCCTTTTTGATTGTTTTGTTTTTTACGGTTTATCAACCCTCTTCAGGTTATTTAAAGCCAGAAAATATTTTTAGAATATAAGAACATTTTGAGGATAATGATGATTTCCTGATACAATTCCTACTAATTAACCCATAGCTGGGGAACACGAGATGGGATCATACAGTTCGCAGTGATATTAGCGCATAAGTGGATATAACGAAACTAACGGGAATTGGAACACGGCTCTCCGTCTGATTTCCATTTCCGAGCCGTTATCCATTGCACCAACCACTTTATCCAAACTAGAGCAACTGGTATTCACAAGCGGTCAACCATCTAGGTACTGACCAAGCACGATGTTGCTTAACTATGATCGTACGAAAGCTGTTTTTTCAACGTGATATGGCTGTAAGTCAATGAGCGTTTTAACTTCCTTTGTCTTTTTATGTGCCGTGTCCCTTCAGGACGTAGGTGATCATAGCTCTCCACTACCACCTATCCCATGTAGCTCTCAATAGGTTTTGTCCCTTTGCTACCTCCTCCAGGCCATGTTCTGTCATCCACTTGCTTAAGCCCGCCAGGTATTTTATGCGTTGATTTCCCTTGTCTCTCTTTCCTTCTATTCGACCTGTGAGTATCAGATTCTCCAAGCCCTCCTTTCTCGTTATGTGTCCCAGACATTTCAGCTGCCTCTTCCGGATGTTAAGTATAAGCTTCATCCTTGTTTGCATCCTCTCCAAAACCTCATCGCTGCTCACACGCTTGGTTCATGATATCCTTAGCATCCTTCGGTAGAACCATACCTCTGTCGCCTCGAATCTTGTCTTCATCATTGAGGAGACCGTCCAATATTCGCTGCCGTTTTAACGTCACTTTGTTTAATACGATTCTCCACTGAACTGTTGCTTTAGTAAAACATCACTTTCCCTCGAGGTTAGTTTATTTACTGCTTGCCTATTACAGACTTATGCATATATTCTGAATGTACGTGTTTTCACGCGCAACAAAACATATAGACTTTATTCTGTCTCTTTCTACTGTAAGAATAAAATACAAAGAGCAAGCATAAAGACAGATAAGAAATCTTTTATCACATCCATTTACATCATTATGTTTCAATTTTATTTCTTCATGTTTTTCCATAGAAAGATTTGGAAAGAGTGGAAGAAAGAATCAGGAAGAGAGAGAGGCAGAAAGAATCAGGAAGAGAGGGAGAAAGAATCAGGAAGAGAGGGAGAAAGAATCAGGAAGAGAGGGAGAAAGAATCAGAGAGAGGGAGAAAAATAGAAAGTGGTGGAAAGAATAAGAGAGAAAACAAGAAAATCAAAAAGAGAGGTGGAAAGGGAACTTTTATACGTTAGCTTTTATAAAACATGAATTTTCAGGTTGCGAATTCGATGGAGACGATTGTATAACATTATCGAGGGTTTCACAGACAAATATGAGGTTTGAGTTATCTTTTGGAGAACTTTGTATTGACGAAGATAGATTTATTGATGCTATTACGTTATTTTTGCAGGAATAGATATAACTAACTAACTAGATAGATAGATAGATAGATAGATAGATAGATAGATAGATAGATAGATAGATAGGGTGAAATCATGAATCGATAGATAGAGATAATGAATCGACGGAAATAGATAGATAGATAGATAGATAGATAGATAGATAGAGAGAGAGAGAGAGAGAGATAGATAGATATGGAGAAAGAGTAGGATCATTAATCGATAGATAGAAAGAAAGAGATAATGAATCGACTGAGATAGATAGATAAATAGATAGATATGGAGAAAGAGTAGGATCATTAATCGATAGATAGAAAGAAAGAGATAATGAATCGACTGAGATAGATAGATAGATAGATAGATAGATAGAGAGAAAGCGTGATATCATGAATCGATAGATAGAAAGAAAGAGATAATGAATCGACTGTGATAGACATTGAATTTAGCGAAAAAGAGAGATAATGAATCGACTGAGATAGATAGATAGATAGATAGATAGATAGATAGATAGATAGATAGATAGATAGATAGGGTGAAATCATGAATCGATAGATAGAGATAATGAATCGACGGAAATAGATAGATAGATAGATAGATAGATAGAGAGAGAGAGAGAGAGATAGATAGATATGGAGAAAGAGTAGGATCATTAATCGATAGATAGAAAGAAAGAGATAATGAATCGACTGAGATAGATAGATAAATAGATAGATATGGAGAAAGAGTAGGATCATTAATCGATAGATAGAAAGAAAGAGATAATGAATCGACTGAGATAGATAGATAGATAGATAGATAGATAGATAGATAGAGAGAAAGCGTGATATCATGAATCGATAGATAGAAAGAAAGAGATAATGAATCGACTGTGATAGACATTGAATTTAGCGAAAAAGAGAGATAATGAATCGACTGAGATAGATAGATAGATAGATAGATAGATAGATAGATAGATAGATAGATAGATAGCCACAAAGTAAGACAGACGCGCAGTTTGAAAAATAGAAGAGAGATATGAACAGAATGTAATCGATATGAGAGATTTTTTTTTTAAAAATTAGACTGTGATACATGGAGAGTTATGAATATGACATGGAGAAAATAAAACATGGAGAAAATAAAATGTAAACGTAGGAAGGAATAGAATTAACACATACATTACTGGCATGTACATATATACATACTTACATACATAATGCAAAAGAGAAAGGTGGGAAAGGCAAAGAGGAAATTCCAGGAATAGGTCTTATTGAAAAGTTCGAGTTAAAATATCAATATAATAAATCAATAATTGCATGCATTATTTAAGCTTCATTTGTCTCAATTGACACACTGTGTTCAGAATAGACAGTCAATTAAGATTAACTTGAGGCAACCAGTTTGATCAACGATGTTAATAAAATTATTTATTGATGAAATAAAAACGAACACACGTCAAATTATTAAATACTTCAGAAATAAGTAGGTCTAGCGTATACCGGTTCGTTTATTATCCTCAAATTATAGATATGAATGTAAATAGATTATGTATTCATATATATATATATATATATATATATATATATATATATATATATTAATTAATTAATATAGATATAATCCCACATCGTTTGCACCACAGAGTTTCATGCCAGACGCAATCTTCAGGTGCTGAGTATATAACCATGGAATATTAGTTTGAGACTTTTATATTATATTCTTACTCTCTCCTGGACATTGAGTTCTACCTGAATTCTATCCTCTTGGGAATTTATATATATATATATATATATATATATATATATATATATATTGACCACTAATATTATCCATATATATATATATATATATATATATACGCAGAAATACAGTTTTAAAGTGTGTTATGTTTATGGGATAAATTGCTCAATATCAGAGATAGAGCGTATGAAATATAAATATAAAAAGTGAATATTGAAGCCAACAATATATATATATATATATTGACCACTAATATTATCCATATATATATATATATATATATATATATATATATATATAATAGAAATCCTAGATTACCTATTTCGTCCCAAACATTTACTTGTAGGTTTTGTCAACACTGAGGTGTGAAGAAATAAAATAGAAGCAAAACATTTTTAACACATACACACACACACACATACACACACGCACACCTAAGATAGATAGATAGACAGACAGATAGATAGATAGATAGATAGATAGATAGATAGATAGAAAGCTTTTAATGGTTGGTGGTTGAAACCCAATGAATGTTCTTTGTCTAAGTGATATTTTTTTACAATTTTTCTAGATATAAAAATTATTCTACTGTTTTCTTGGAAACAAATTTTTCCAGTGTCTCGTGAGCGCTTTCGCTTTGAAATACAATTATGAAAGAGATTTTGTTTTTGTTGTGTGCCTGCATGTGTGCGTGCGCGTCAGCCTGTTTCTGTATGTTTGTGTGTGTGTGTTTAGGCGTCTGTATATGTCTTTGTGTCTGCGTGCGCAGGTGCCTTTTTGTGTGTTTGTCTGCATATTTGCTTCTGTATGTTTCTGCGTGTGCGTTCACCTATGTATCAACTCAAGTACGGGTATCCCCTGGAAATAATAAAAATGCTAAAATTCTGTCGGATTAAAAAAATCCATGAATTCTTCAAATAATATATATATTTATATATATATATATATATATATATATATATATATATATATATATATAGATAGATAGATAGATAGATAGATAGATATCGCAGAAATATTCGATAAATCCTATATGAGTAACGTAAGGCTTTTAAAATCGCTTAAAATTGAGGAATTGATGCGATGTTTGGTTGCCACATGATTTTATGTTAAAATCTAAGGAACCACGATTTGTTTTTCTTCTCAAACACAACACAAACACCACAATTTTGAAAAGAATGAATTAAAAATGGATTGCTTACAACAATTTGGAGCGAATAACGTCCCGATAGAAAACAAAATAAACGAAATGAACTACTGTTAAGTACTGACAAACTTGTGATCAACGGATTAATGAGGTGGCTACGTTAAAATCCTATTGTCCATAGATCGGAAGATATTATTTTTGAGTTATAAAACCACATTAGTAACTACCAGGAGTTTTGATCATAATGTAAATATGTGTATATGTGTCATAAATAAATATATACTTAATATAGACATATTAATAAAAATAAAAAAAATAATAGATTTCTCACAGCTACTTTCCCACGCACACTCTAATATATCGTACTTTATATACTGTACACCCATCTTTGTTTCCAAATGAAAAGCCCTCCACCGCCGCCAAGCGGTGATTTTGAGAACTAATACGACTCGTTCCGCTATATCTGCAAATTTTGTAATACATCACTGACGATTTGGAACTTTTTTTTTTTCCTGCAATTTTTTTTTATTATTTTGCAGATTTTGTCCGTTGCATCTGAAGTCCGTTGATGGGGGTGTCCGTTGATGAGAGGTTTGTCGGTACTTGAAACGCCGATCAATAAGCGGAGAAGATTACGTTGTGTATCTGCTGACATTGATTGCTCGTTACGCACAATCCGGCATTGAATTCAGACGAGAAATGTCTCCGGCTGGATTTTTTAAATACAGAAATCGTCGAAAATATCGGGATTTACCAATCGGAAGGGTAACGTTTCTCGTCAGACAGAAAACACCTCACTTCTCCTTGCTGACCCGGCAGAAACTGCTTCATCCTCCGTATTCATCTTACCTTTCATTTTTGAATTGCCACCTATTTCAATCCCTACAAAATCTTTTTTTTAATGAGAAAAACTTCTGTAGAAGCCTTTAAAATTCACTTAGATCAGTTCATCCCCCAGTTCATCTGGGAGATTGTTATCATGGAGCTGCCACACAGCTGTTGAAATAAAGATCAACAAGATGGGACATGTGTACAAATACGTAATTAGTATCTTTGAAATTGGCTAAAATTCCCTGACAAAGTAATTCTGTTATTATTTTTTCTTTTTTTTTTTTTTTGCATTTTTCATGTATACGAACAACAGCTTGTTTTTTAAGATATAGTAAATGCAGAAATTATTCAAATGTTTATTTATCTCGAGAGGTTAAGGCTAATCTATTAACCGTTCTCACAAATTTCTGCAGTACTTTTGTAAATGATGCATAAATGCTATTTTAGACAGTCTAAAGTTTACGGTTAGGTAGACTTATTCTAAATTCCCAAATACGGAAAGTACATTGTGACCGTGTTCATAGTCACCAACATCAACTGGCCGTATTTGACAATTAAAACTATGTCTATTCTTCAGCAACCTCTACAGTAGCAGTACAATAAATTTCTTATAGATATTGTCGGAGTTACCTCTTCCATAACACCCAAATTGTCACTAGGGGACATTCTCAGTACACTATAAATACTGGGCGACTTCTCGCCTCGTTCTCTTTCCTTCAGGCGTCGTGCAGCATCCCACCTTGCGTGGAGGTGAGGTAAATTTCTCTTTTTTTTTTACTTCATTTCAGCAACTACAATGTAAGCTCTCTTAGAAAATCTGCGTCTTCCCAAAATCAAAAATATGAACATTCACTAAAGAACAGACACAAACGTTCACTCTCTCTCTCTCTCTCTCTCACACACACACACACACACACACACACACACACACACAGAAGTTATTGTCTATTTCTATTGTAAAATTGTGTTAATACATATATTTGTTTATATATATATACAGGGTGGTCCAAATATAGGTGGACAGTAAATAATTACATTTATTTTGAGATTACATACACATACAATTATATTTACTAACACAATTATTACATTGACAATTAAATTTTATTGTGAACAATAATACAAAAGCCCTTAAATTTTATCAACGCAGGTGATCAAACTGTTTTTCATCACAATTTACACAGCTATGAAGTCTACCTCTAACGCTTCGACAAACTTTTTTGTACAAGTCTTTTTGGGTATTAATTTCTTGAAATGCATCTCTGATGTAATTTTTTAAATCACCGACACTTCTTGGTTTTCGACTCTAAACTTTGTCCTTGAGTAATTCCCAAAAGAAGAAATCCATTGGGGTCAAGTCTGGTGAACGTGCCGGCCAATCAATTGGACTTCTTCGGCCAATCCATTTCTCAGGAAATGTTTCAAGATACTCACGGACTGTTCTTTAATAATGTGGAGGGCCACCACCTTGTTAGAAATAAAGGTCATGTGAATTAGGCTGTTGCTGTAACTGGGGAACAACTTGTTTCATTAGAAGTTCGAGATACTTATCTCCTGTGACTGTTCCATCAAAAAAACATTGGTCCTAAAACACCAGAACTTGAAATACCACCCCAAACATTGACACCAGGCTGATTTAGTTGTTGCTCTAATGTTAAATGCATGTTCTCATACATACAGTCCACCTACTTTTGGACCACCTTGTATATTGGTCTTGTTTGTTTGTCTTCTTTATCTTCAGTTAGACTTAACTTGAGTCCGGCAATTTTCTTGTAGTTGGACCTTTTAATATTCTACCAGAAGTTACATACGTTTTTCTAATACAACAACATGTAAATACCTCCCTGTCCTCTCCAATATAGGCTTGCGTTGTGTTTTCTACCGATGAAATATTGGCAATGTTGGAAGCATTTTCTTACATAATTATCACATATTTTAGTGGGGTGGGGTCAGAAATGAGGGAAAATTCCAGATGACTAGTGGCCTTGTGCCGTAGTAAGTTTAGCTTCATAAATAACAAATGCAGAAAGAGACTCTTTAATATCTCTAAAAAAAAAATTTGTCATTTTTGCCACAGCGAATATTTGCAGTTTTTGTTTCTGGTCCACGAAAAACTCGGGTCATTACCGAATGTGGTTGTCAGCCAGAGATAAAGACCAAGTGTATATTTTCATGACAATTGTTCGGAGGAGCTCTTTGCTATGATAGCCCCCATGATTACACATCTCCTTCTTCGTTAGGTGGTCAGTGATGTCAGTTCTCTGGTGCATGCAGGGCGCCTTTCGTTTTGGGTGTGATTTTCGTATTTGTTGTTGTGTTTGAATGAGTGTGTGTTTGTGTCAGTGCTTGGAATGAATGAATGTTTTATATTATTAAAGTCCCGCATTGATCCCGTCCAGTGAACTGGTGTTTCTGCAGTATTGTGACTGCTTATTACTGTTGAGATGTTGTGAGTTTCCCGCGTGTCGGTGTATGAATCAAGACAAACACAGTTGTAGAAGAAAATACTGGTATATTCATAAAAGCAATTAACAATAGAGTGATTAGTAGAACGAAGGTTGGTTAGTACGAAACAATATCCAAAGTCTATAGTCCAACGGTATGTACCGGGTAAGCTTATCTGGACTGCTAAGATATTTAGCACCCCCCCCCCCCGACGAAGGCGTCATGCGGCACAAGGCCTTTTTAACGTGGGCATTCCCGAGCCATTAGGGCATTTGAAATAAATAGGCCCATTTGAACCCGTATAAACGGGTTCAGGGCCATTTACCTCCCCGAAGGAGACTCCGCCCTTCGGCGAAGCCCTCCTTCGGGTTCCTCCCGCCCGTAGGAAGAGAGTTGAACCGATCAGTCGCTCAGAAAGTATCTGGACTGCTAAGATATTTAGCCCCCCCACGAGGGCGTCATGCGGCACAAGACCTTTTTAACGTGGGCATTCCCGAGCCATTAGGCTCGGCCAAAAATAGCCCATTTGAACCCGTATAAACGGGTTCAGGGCCGGTTTAACCTCCCCGAAGGAGACTCCGCCCTTCGGCGTAGCCTCCTTCGGGTTCCTCCCGCCCGCAGGTAGAGAGTTGAACCGATCAGTCGCTCAGAAAGTATCTGGGCTGCTAAGATATTTAGCCACCCCCCGTCCGGACAGAGAGGGCGTCATGCGGCACAAGGGCTTTTTAATGTGGGCATTCCCGAACCATTAGGCTCGGCCAAAAAATAGCCCATTTGAACCCGTATAAACGGGTTCAGGGCCGGTTTAACCTCCCTAAAGGAGACTCCGCCCTTCGGCGTAGCCTCCTTCGGGTTCCTCTCGCCCGTAGGAAGAGAGTTGAACCGATCAGTCGCTCAGAAAGTATCTGGGCTGCTAAGATATTTAGCCCCCCTCCCCCACGAGGGGCGTCATGCGGCACAAGGGCCTTTTTAAACGGGTTGGGCATTCCCGAGCCATTAGGCTCGGCCAAAAATAGGCCATTTGAACCCGTATAAACGGGTTCGGGGCCTTTTTAATGTGGGCAGAGCCATTAGGCTCAGCCAGCCAAAAATAAAACCTTCCCGAAAGGAGACTCCGC